ACTGTTATTTTACAGGGAAAAATCTTCCTACATTCGGCATTTCAAATCGTAAAAGCCATAGATACGTGTTTGGATGGACAATCGAATACCACATTCAAATACCTTCTTTAAATATATTTTTCAAGGCAAATAATTGTTTCTCACCTGATCGAGGAACTAAATTGGTCTTAGACTCTCTGTTAACGCTTTCCTTTCAGCCAGTTCATGACCTCCATTCCAGGGGTTATATAATTTACGCCGAAATTTTGCCTTTGCACGTACTCCCTCCTTCTCCCCCAGAGTAATAACCGGACTTGAGCACGCGATCCAATCGAAAACCCCCGCAGGAACCTCAATGACCAATCATAAGCACGGACTTAATTCTTAACTGCCGTAATCATTTCACCGGAAGATAAAAAAGAAAAGCGGCCATTTTTTTTCTTTACTGATGAGCGATCATGTAGACCGGAACTGACCTATTTCGCCGGAAGAGAAGCCTAAAAATAGATCAGACNCTTACGAGAGGTGGTCGCACGCAACCGGAAGTTCGACTATATAATGAAGTGCTTACACAATGACTAACATTCATTCCACTTCAATGAAAAATCTTTAAGGACCGCTGTCTTTTACTAAGTGTTGTCTATCAGCTTCTTCCTCTTCTGGCAACAAGTCTGTAGGATTAAGCTTGATTTCTGTCGAGCCTTCTGGTCGCTGCCAGGCGGGAAAAAACCTGCACTTGGCTTTTGCTCAACGATTCTTCCCTATCAAGATAAGGTCAAGCCGCACCACAATGCTAATATAAAGATTTAGCCAAGCTCCTGGTTATAATAAGTAAACCTAGCTTGAGCCTGCGATCCATCGAACGAACATTAATTATCATTACATTGCAACTGCGTGTCAGTTACGTAATTCCCATTGGAAATGAACTTCACAGGAATAAAGAAATAAACGGCCTCGAAATATTACCCTCGAAATGGCACCCTCGTTTCTCGACCCTAGACGAAGAGATGATCGCCCAAATAGCATATGGAGTTTGAAATAACTAGAATTCCTATTCATCTGAAACGTTTCAAGCGTGACAGCTACATTCATCCAGCTACTATTGATCTTTTGCAAAGGGGTGAAACAGAGGCTTAGATGCTAAGTTTGATAGCGCCCGGCTTCGCAAGAAACGTTGCAAACGGAAATGACTCACTTCCTACATAAAGCAATGGTGAGTTTTAGCAGTAAGTTAATTCTTGGCCCTGTGAGTTGCCAGATCTTGAATTTTCGGTCGAGATCTTGCTAGCAAGACCTTGATTTCTCAGCATTTTGCGGGAAAGAGGTTGAGTTTTCAAGATCTTGCCTGCGAGATCTTGAAACTTCAGGATCTTGCCCCCAAATTTGTGAAAATTCACCATTTGCTAACTCACCATATGATTACTCGCTGCTGTGACTCACGAAGGATAATTCACCAAATTGGCGGTCCCATTCATAAAAATTATATCTGAAACAATGGACTTATTACAGAAATAGATTCCTAACCTTTTCGAACCTTTTGAACTGCAGAATCATACACCAAGGCTCCACACTTTTCAGTAAGCTGCGGTGCACAGATGTAAACAACTGTTTGGAGAAAGGATGTCCTACCAATGTATATAAGCGCATGCGAAACTGTCGAAAGGTTTTATGGGTTATATATTAATAAACTAATAGTAATCGTAGATTTAAGATCGCGTTCGAGTTTTGGTTGGCTTGGTATGTTAAAAAAAAAAATTCTAGGGAAAGCATTTTGTGCCTGAGCTGTTAGGCAGGAGTAAAATTGGTCTCCCTTCAGCAGGGGCAAAAACAAATGAATTGACCAGAAAGCACGTGCATACGAGAGGGTTTGTTCTCGTTTATACAAGTATTATGTAATATTAGTTACGACTGGTCAGTAAAAAACATGGACTGCAGTCGGGAGGCCGCATTTAGTCCGCAGT